AGCATCCATTATGGTCTGGGGCAGTATATCATCAAAAGAAGTAGGAAAACTTCATTGTATTGATGGAAATGTGGATACAAACAAATATTTGGCAATTTTAGAAGAATCGCTTTTACGAGTGATGGAAGAATGTTTGACATCCGGCCAAGATTTTGTGTTTCAGCAAGATGGTGCAGCGTGCCATACCTCAAAAGAGTCTATAAAATGGATGGAAGAAAATAATGTACCACTTTTGAAATGGGTTTCTAGCAGTCCAGATTTGTCACCTATTGAAACTTTGTGGCACGAGATGAAAAAGGTTCTACGACAACATCCTGCTCGTACAATCACCGAACTGAGACAAAAGCTTCAAGAAATATGGGATTGTTTTACACCAAATTTTCGCCAAAACTTGGTTAACATTATGCCCCAAACAATTTCAGCCGTAATAAAAAATAAAGGTGATATTACCCAATGGTAATCTTTCAATTGTTGCTTTGTTAACTTCGCGCATTTATTCGCACATTGTTTATTTGTTCAGATGTTCTATTAGTTATAGGTCTAAGTGATTTCAAATATGTATTTTTTACGACTATAGTGTATATAAAATGTTTTTGAGAAAATAAACTGTTTTAGAAGTAAATAGTTTCGTCATGTTTAGTTTTTAAATGCATATTTTGGTACAAATCTTGAAGTGGGCCAACTGAAGTGGGAAGGGGCTCGTAGATGTGTTATTTTTTATTATATTTTAAATTCCGTATGTACTTTTTATTTCAACTTTAAACAAAATCAAACGACGTGTCATACTCAACCCATATTTATGTACTAGATTAGAAGATTTTTTGAGAATTACGATTAGTAAATAATTTTGCATCCATTTCCCTCATTTAAGAAAATTAAGATCCGCCCCTGGTCGATCTGCTCACTTATTCCACATGGCGTTGATGACGTAACCGCCAGCTGCGGCTTGCCGCGATGCCATCGACGCACTCTTTCTAACATACATGTTGGACGCTTCTCTCTCGTAGACATTACCTCGTCAATGATATCTGGATTTCTCTGTATATTAACTGAAATAGAAAAATGTAATTTTTTGATTCATAGAGTCCGGGTGCCGCGCCACTGCATTTGTGAGCCCATGAAGAAGACTCAGCTGCAAACCGGAATAATTGCATGTTCCACCGAACGAAACCGCGGCAATTATTCCCCATTATGTTACGTATTTTTCCTCAAATTGACATCATTTATGCGATACGTAAAGGATTATAGGTTTGCATAATATATGTAAACATTATATTTGCCTTCGCGAGGCAAGGAGCAAGAATGTCAACATATCGCAGGGTTGCTTTTTAAAACCAGGTTGCATTCTACATAATCAGAGAACATTCCATTCCCTAGGATGAAATTAGTATCAGACGGGTTGAATAAGATTATATATTATTATATAAGACTTTCAGTTTCCACTATCACTTTGATGGAATGCAGGGAAATTGAATATGTAGTACGTAGATTTGTAACAAAGAAGCAACAAAAAAATTTCGATTCTACTTGTTACGTCTATTCTGTCTCACAAATATGGTTCCCAACGCTGTATCGTTGCCGGGCATGATGCTATGCGAAATCCGACGGCGCGCATGACGTCACGCGGAGAGTGATTATCATTTGATATGGATAACGTGCATATTTTCACCTACAGGCCAAACGGCTGGACGGATTTTCACATATGAAGTGTCGTTGGATTTGTCTCGGTGTTTGGCCATAACTTCTTTGCTATTAGTCGGAACTTCTTACGTGCAGTCTCATTTTGTAGCTCTCATAAATACCTAAAAATCTTATATAAAGAGTTTTTTCGTTCCTGCCAACACTTAGGTCCCAAAAAACACGATTTCTCATTCTTTGTTGTCGAATGGAAAGTTTTCCCACATAAATTGCTGTACATATTTTATGCGTCCATGTTTTGAATACCCCCTTGAACAACTCAGCAATAAAACCAGACCTTACAATTATTTCGCAAACCAGAGGCATTTTCGTCTAATATGATTAGAGTATAACCACAGGATATAAAATAAAACACATTTCAAAATTTGATCATTTTTGGGACATTCAATACTTGGTAGCGTCTACCTAAATATGCACTAAAATGTGGAAATATTCACACATTTTGACAATGGATAGTCCCATAATCATTTTATTACATTTTCACAGTTATAGGCGATTCAATATACGCAAGCGACCAACAGTGACAATATGTTAGCTCCTCATTTTGAGTTAAAGTGAATGTATATTCCAAAGCTATGAAGTACTAATAAGAAAAATTTACATACATACAGACCAAGCAAATAAAAGCGTGTTAAAAAATCGCTTAGTTCTAAGCTTTTCTTCATCATACCGCGGCGCTCTAGGCCTACCAAACGGACCCGCCAGGCGCCTAGAGTCTTCACTCGATCGAATTTTGTATCTGTCGCTGCTTCTCTATTCCTAGGGTGTCGAGATTATCGGACTATCTATAGAAAGTTCTACTAACCATAGGCAAGTTAACGAAATTAAATTAACCAGGTGCCTGAACTCTTTATAGCTGGCCCGGTATCTTCGTGTCTGCTTTCATTTTAACAGAGATGTTTTGGAGAAACATTTTAATTTCTTCTTGACACGTGCGTTATTTATGCCACTAATTACAAAAATAAGTTTCAAACATTACCATGTTGTAATAATTACGTCAGCAATAAAACAGCGGTAAACTGTTTTCCATACAGATTTAATCATTATCAAGATCGTAAAAAAGTTAAGTATACTGTAAGATTATTGTCACTAACGCTCTCAACGGGCTGTAAAAAGGCCATGCATGTTCGAGACGTAAATGTTTCTTAGCTTGACCGTTAACTTTAGGTAATGAAATTTTCCCTGCTCATATCTTATTCATAGGCGATATATATATATATAAAGAGAAAATCATCATGCTGAGAAAGGTATACGAGTATAATAGGAAAATAATGGGCAAAATCCGAAAAAAGAAGGAACGTGGATTCGAGCAGGTTAGATGTCGCCTTGAACATTCGACGTCATCTAGCCACTTTATACTTCAATGTGTCGGTTGGCTCTTGTTGGGGACTTCGTGTTTCATATTTTTTTCGTTCTCCATCTACGATTCCTCAGGTTACACCCGTGTCCGGATGTATGGGCATGTGCATCTACCTTTGTGATTGCATACTATATGTGCATTCATTTCGGGCCTGATGAAGACAACAAGCAGAAATACGTATTGCTCGGGTTACCTATCCTATTTTCTGATCGAATCCACTTTCCTTCTTTTAGCTCCTGGAGATGACAACATAGTTTGTCGAAAGCTCGAGTTTACCGTCAAAAGAGTTCACTAAGCTTTAAGTTTTGCCAACTTCCAATAAATAATTTAATTGTATTTTTGCCCAACTGGTGGTTGGCAATGGCAATAACTTCTGCTCGCTTTATATATACTCGTATATATACCTGTATATATACAGGGTGTCCGCAAAGTTGGGGTTTTCCTTTTCAGAAACAACTAACCTTTAAATAACAAAGGTAATGTGTAGTGAAACGAGGGCGACCAAGTAAAAAAAAATAAAGAAAAAAGTACTCACTCTCCAGTTGACGAGAAGGGCTAAGTACGTCTCTGCCCGAAATCATACCGCTCCAACAGAAAATGAAATCAGCTGATGAGCTACCGAGCAGACGCCGGCGGTGGTGCAGACCAGTAGACCACGAACAGAGGTAACAAATATGACCATCGTGCAGAAACCACATTGATTGTCTTACACTTAATGGCACATCTTCTAACAAGGAAGGCAAAATGTTGCGTAAAAAGTCTAGGTATTGCATCCTGCCCAATCGATTTGGGAGAATAAATGGTCCAATGAGCATACCGTTCACCATGCCAGCCCAAACATTCACCGAAAATGTTTGTTGAAAATGTGTCCGACGGACAGCGTGCGGATTTTCTACTGACCAAACATGAGTGTTGCGAAAGTTATTCACCCCATTACGCGTGAACGTAGATTCGTCTGTCCCCAATATGCACTTCAAAAAGTCCGGATTATTGTCATGTTGATGCAACAACCACTCACAAAACCGCACTCTTGCTGGAAAATCGTCAGGTTGAAGGGCTTGTACAAGTTGGACGTGAAACGGATACAGCCCCTCTTCACGGAGCGTTTGCCACACTTTAGTTTTTGATACTTGCACTTCTCTAGCCACGTCTCTAGTGCTTGTTGAGGGATTCTCGTCCACGCGATTATCTCTACATGCGTGACCGTAACCGTCGGTTGAAGGTTGCATACTGACCTGACACACTGACCCCGACCCAGTTCTGTCGTCGGATTGAGCTAGTGGCCTAGTACCACTCGGGGATGTCGCGGCTACAGGACGGTATTCAGATATTTTTGATGTTGCAGAGCCCTTTATCTCGGTTCCCTTAAGACATTGGTGTATATGGTACTAAGAAAATTGCTTATGTTTTCAAGATCTACACGTCGTGTAAAGGAAAACCCCAACTTTGCGGATACCCTGTATACTGTAAATAAAAAAAATAACCGATATTTCAATCATATGTTAATTTTAATATAATACACTGTCGATAAATAATTGTATCACTTTCACTATTTGTCATCGTTGGAGATCTTTTATTATACATATAGTCCAGGTGAACAACCGAATGCGGATCAGATCTTCTAAGAATGCAGTCCGTTTTCCTAATCACTCTCACTGAAAATTGAAAGACTAAAAAGTTGCATAATGCTTGCTTTAGAACAATTGATCTGGGTGTGTCTTATTAGCAAATTTGCATATCGCTGTTTCTCAAGAATAGTGACACTATTCAAAAAAGCTTTTTTTCAGGGGAGGCATTTTTTATATTTCTTGAAGACAAATTTCGGATAACTGAAGATACAGTTAATAATTTGGACTTAGAAATTATTAATTGAATAAGGTCCATTGAACTTTCCGATTCGTTGAATGAAAGATCAGTATGTTTTCAAAAATATCCCATTTTATTACTTTTTTGCAACTTTGCAGGAATTTGTCATGATTCCTAAAAAATAATGCATTTCTAAAAAATGTACGACAAATAATTCGTGGTTACAAAACAAAGACGGAACATTTATTTTAGTATTTTAAATGCTACGTGGAACTAAAAAATCAAAGGTAACTACAGAAAAAACCAGTACAATACAAAATGCTGTACACATTTTTTGAGTGTCCGGAATTGGAACAGTCAAACGTTTTTTGACACCAATTAATCCTGGCTGCTTTCTGCTCTTCAGTCAACAGGTGGGGTATCCAACGAGAAACTAATTTTCTTACTCCTAATTTTTCATGAAAATTTTTTTGAATTGAGGTCTTTGAGATCTTCAAGGACGCCTCAATGTCGCGATATGTCACATGTCTATCTTCAAGTTTACTAAAGAGTGAGGTTAAGATTCAGTACTGACGTTCGATCCACGCGGCCTACTAAGTTTCTATATGCAAAACTTAAAAAACATCCCTCGTAAAACAACAAAATAAATAAATGTCAACAGACAGTAAAGTAAGTAAACAAACTTTTCCACTTTTCCAAAGGCAACGTGATATTATTTTGTGTTTGTTAAAATTAAAGCCAAGGAATTTTGACCCAATTGTTTTGGGACATGCACATTACAACTTACAACATCCAAAAAACATATAACTTGAATCCAAAAAAATCTTCAAAATTACAATACTTCCTCCAGTTTTGACACAGGAAGCAAACATGGAAAGTACTGTGAAAAAATCTGATAAGAAATTGTGAGAACTAGAAACAACCGTGGATTCGATAAATTCAGTCATTAAAATATACATTAAAGACAGTAACTCAGCAGGGATTCTTGTTGCGATAATTGTCTCTGAAAGTTGTAATAAATTATGGCGCGAAAATGTTCTCGGTTGAGTACCATTTTTCTAATGACTTGTTGACGCTTAAAAATTCACTGTAGTGAGAACACTGCATGTATTGTTTTGAAACTTTGAATTTAAGTTTACTAAAGAGTGAGGTTAAGATTCAGTACTGACGTTCGATCCGCGCGGACTACTATGTTTCTATACGCAAAACTTAAAAGACATCCCTCGTAGCGGAAAAACCTATACAATGTCAAAAAAATCGACATCATGTCACTTTTCATGATAAGCCGAGCGCATACCCTTTTAGGAAGAGCTGAGTCTCAGAAGCGTAAAACTGCATCAATTCGTCGCGCTACCACGTTAGCTTCTACAGTATATTCAGATAAGAGATAGACCGGACATAAACAAGACCACGTGATCATCGAACGCTGTAACATTCGGCAGGGACGTATTAAGAGTCACGCAGTACATATTTTAGATAGTAGATGCTGCTTTGCGTAACTTTGTAGTAAATTAGCACAATTCGATGTGTATACGATTGGTGATGGATATAGGATCATGTGGGGGTGGGGTAAGAAATATATAATGATGTAAATATACATAAGGGTTTCAAAATTTTCGCTTCGATTTCCAGCTTCGGATGCCGCCTGATGTTTGGTGAAATACAGTCGAATATAATCTCAAAATGGCGTTTAAATTAGCCTAAATTAAAAATAATCGTATATCTCTTAAAATTGCTTTTAGAATATTGATTAGTATATTTTTTGATTTCTAGGTAAATATGTAACCAAATTAAAACGTTCAAAACGTAAAAAAATGTGCATGGTTGAACATCGTCAGAAAGTAGATTCTTGAATAGGTTTTGCCAAAATGGGTTCAAAAATGTCAATAATTAATTAAAAAATACAGTAGCTTTATAATTACTTATAACTTACCGAATTTGATGAACGACATCTTTTATTGGAAAGATGAGCTTGATGAGCTTTCATCATCGCTACTGCCTGAAGCACCAACGTCAATAATGAATGGCTCGACTTGTTCCTCTAAAATATTGTCCAGTTCCCACATTCTCTTTTCAACTTTGTCTTTCACGTGCTTAATACAGTTTTCCCATTTTTGCGCTGTTATTAATTCTAGTGCTTCTTTGAAAAGTCCTTTGAGGTCACAAAATTTAAAAGTTGTATTGTGCTTAGCTATATAATTTTTAACCTCTGCCCATATGAGCTCAATGGGATTGAGCTCGCAATGGTATGGAGGTAAACGGAGCACAGTTTTATTTTGACTTGCTGCCATTTCGTCAATGGCGTATTTTTGATATTCCGCCTTGTGATCCTTGACAATTCTTAATAATTGTACTTTCAGCATTGCTTCTTCAAAGTTGATATTTTTCGAGCGGAGCCAATCAACTTTCCTTGAAGCCGTTGTTGGGACCTTCTCCAATCTTCGAGAATGATAAGGCGCATTATCCAACACAATTACTGCGTTTTCCTCTAAGTTCGGTAAAATTTTTGAAAACCACTGTTCAAACGATTCGCCATTCATTTCCTCGTGGTAATCTCCAGTTTTCTTAGACCCAAAGCACCACAGACCGTCAACAACAAATCCATCCTCACTGCCAATATGGCAGATAATGAGCCTTTTCCCTTTACCTGGAAATCGAAGTACTAACTGGTGTAGATTTATTTCAATAAGCGAACCTTTTTCAAATGTTTTCATCACATTCGGCGAAAAAACATTGAGACATGAGTATCAGATTGCTATAATTGGGATTATTTAGTCATATTGAAAGAAAGAATATTGAACGTCGCATGATTACTCAGCGCTTCACAATTTAATTTAAAGTTATAAACCTTTAAAAAATGAATGATCAGGAACCTGAAATACGCGCAAATATTAATATTAACAAATTATAACTTTATAAAGCTTAAAGTATGAATTAAAATGATTAGAAATATTAGGAACGGTACACAATATAAAACTTAGTAACTTTTTTTAAGTATATAATATTCGACATATTTTAAGATTATATTAAAAAATTATTGAAATATCGAAAACACATAAAAACATGGCTTAAAAAAGTTCTAACAAATGAAAATGACAATAAAACATCCACGCATTTTATCGAAAGTTATAAAAGTTTTGTTACTTGTAATGTTTTATCTGCCCCCTGGAATTAATGTTTAGAACCTTGTTCCCAAGGTTTGAAAAACATCCGACTGTTGTCTATTACTCGTATTTACCTGCTGGATTTTTTAATCCGGTGGACAGTCCATCTAGAAAGGCCCTCCTGGATGAAGTTACAGAATCATCAACCCATACTTTACTTGTAGTGTGTCCTGCGTTTACCCACGTTTCATCAAGGTAATAAATCTTCCTGTTTTGATTTCTATATTTCCCAATTTTTGTTAAATAATCCCTCCTCCATAGCACAATTTCTTCTCTATCCAGTAGTAAACTATTACGACCCCGTTTCTTTCATTTGAAATTTAAATGCTTCAGTAACGCATGGAAAGTTGATCGTTTGAAATTTGGCAACGTTGTATCTCCATTTACCTCCTGCAGTACTTTATCTATAGTAGGTATTTCATTCCTAAAGAAGAATTCATGCACTTTCCTCCTAATCGCATGCTTATCAGCTTCATCCAATGATTTAACAATACTTTTGCGATGTTTACTGGTCATTGGCTCAGAAAAGGTGTGATTTTTTTTTATTGTCTTAACACATTAAACACTGATGCGCGACACACCCCAACTTTGTGAGAAACCTTCACAACAATTTCTTTGATGGTTGATGCCTCGTTCTCCTCGCGCTCGATCTTATATATATTCAAAATGACCTCTTTCATTTCTGCACTCAGGTGTCTTTTTTTAGAGCGTTTCCTAGGTGGACTACAGGAGTTTACAACTTCATCGGCAGTATCTGTACTACTGGGCATTTTGCGCAAGCAGTTGATAACAATAACAATCAATAACAAGGTATAACAATAACAACGACAAACTCAACAACTTAATAAGATAACAAACGAACACGTCCAAAGAAATATCAAATTGCAATGATGCACACGACATACGTAACACGTCTGAACCTGAATGTGACTCTGCCTTGATACGACTGCTCTGCCGCTCGGCATAGGCATTTAATTGCGAATTAACCAATGAGGGCTCCTGTTTTACGTCGAGACGGCGGCGTTAGCGTGAAAATCACCCGAACCTTTTGTTTACATCCGGTCTATCTCTTATCTGAATATACTGTAGGTTTTTAATCTAAAATGAAGTCGCTCCCAGTTTTCTTCTCACCAGCGGTCGATCAGAACACGAAGTATGACATTAGTGGAGGAAAATTCTCCCGGACTATTATAAATATCAGCCGCTCTGTGTTGGCACGTCCTTCAACCGAACCGTTCTCTTTTGTAAATATCACGTTTCTTTTATATGGTCTGAAACCGAGTAGGTGTAGGTCATTTGCAACATGAATCTGAAGTCATTTTTTATGGCCGCCATATGGAGAGATAATGGTAGGTGTGACCGGTATGTTCAGGCGTTAGGCGATACTTCGAAAGAACCTTTGAAAATGTATTTGTTCTTTGTCGTTCTCTGTTTTACAGCAATGTGTAAATAGACCGAATGCAAGAGCTTTATAGTCAGAGATACCACGTACCATGAAATGGTAATTATGTTTAATTGATGCATACTCGGCAAGTCGTATTAAATGAATTACTATGGAGAAATGACTAAAGGGGACATCGACGTCGTGCGTCGTAGGCCTGCCAGACGAACTCGCCAGGCTTTAGGCTCTGCCTAAGTGATAGCTTTGCTATAAAAAATAACAAAATGGCGATTAAAATAATGATTTCACGATGAACATGAATCGCTTCTAGTCATTTTTGATATAACAGATTCACATAACATTTTTTTGGATATAAAATCAAGTACATTAGCCGTTAAACAGTAGAACAATTTTTAGACGAGAAATAAATTTGATATTTTCATCAATAAGCAAACCCATGTTTTTAACCGACTCTTCGAACGGGTGCTTTTTTTTCGAGATATAGAACTTTAAGTTGGCATTACTTTTGAAGTTGACGACCGATTTGACAGCTGTCAAGTGATTTATTCTCAGTTTGGTTTAGCAATTCATCATGGATAGACTAACGCCTGAACAACGCTTGCAAATTG